ATTGCTGGAGGGGACAATGCTTGGAGTAAAAAGAGCAGTAGTTTTTTTGGGTACTTTGGTTCTAGTACAGCCCATGTGCTCAGAGGCTACTGTTACTCCATTCTTAGGGACCTATCTGTGTGCTTGCTCTGGTTGCTGGATTCTAGTAAAATACAGGCTTAGGCTGTGTAAGCCTGGAGGCTATTCACCCCTACTAAGACAACTTCATATTTCAGCCCAATCCTATTGTCATTTCTTTTTAAAACTAATCCTGTGTATGTATGTGATTGATATTATCATATACTTTTTAATCTACCTGCCACCATACACCGCCCAGCTTTTTCCCAGGTGAACTTTGCTCTTTGTTTCATATCAAAGAAAAAAATACACTACCATTTGTACCAAAGCAGCTTTAAGAGCTCAACTCCCAAACTGTTTTTTTACATTCACCTCAAATTCTGGGAACCCTTAACAGTGACAATGTTAGAGAAAGACATACTTCAGTGTAAATAGGAACACTAGATTTGTTTGTTTCTATTTCTGTATCATTACTAAATAATTGTTGCCTACTCCCAGGATGGCTATGAAATTTAACCAGAGCCTTTGGATGAGCATTGGATGCAAGCAACAATAAATGTTTCTAAATGTTGCTGGAAATTCTCATCAACTGTATAAAATTACTTACAGATTAAGCACACCTGCGCTGAGCTATTAGAATCCACTTCCTGAATTCTCTTCAGCCAACAATGAAGAAAAAAATTGTTTTTCTATCTTTTCTCATAACATTGCACATTACTTATACGCAAATCCTATCTTGATCTCTTCCAGCCATTACAAACTGTTGTTTTGCATAGTGAATAATATTTGTAAAAACAAATGGAGGAAAAACATAATTTAAAACTTTCCTTGTTAAGAACAAACACTTGTATGCTCGCATGTTTTGTTTTGCTTTCTTTTGTTGGCTGTTGGCAAGCTAATTCAGCTCAGAGGATATTCTCTGCATGAACTAAAGCCAAAGAAATTGTAAATACCCAACAAAATAATGTTAGTAGACATTATGAAGTTATGTGTGATTTTTAACTTCAGACCCATGGAGATTATTACTACAGCTAATGAAAAGAAACTATGTTTGTTTGTAGAATTCTCATTGTGTTATACTGAAACTTCAAGTTTGTTTGTGTGTTCATCCATTCATTTGTTTGTTCATTTAAAATATAGTTCTCAATCCTTCCCCTGCAAACAATTCTTAGAATAGATCACAACACTTTGTCTTAAAATTACATATATAATAATAATAAACATGCACGTTATAAGCTAAAAATAGGTCACTTTGGAATAAATCTACATTAAAAGGAGAGGGTCAGAGGAAGCCTCCAGCCTGTTAAGCCAAACACTTGTCAGATAAATGGATTACAAAGACAGTATCAAAATTTTTGGAAAGTCACTTTATAGAGCAATATCTCTCACACAAAAAAAAAGCTTATAGCAAACATAAATAAATCCCTATATCTGGTTATTGTTTTCATTTTAAAAACATTTGTTTGCTTGTCTATTTTTAATGTTGTATCTACTGTTACACTGTACAATTCAAAGAAAAAACACAAATATGTTCCCTTCGTCATCCCAGCCTCTTTCAAATATCACATTGCTAGAAAATTTAGACTGAGAGTAATGAGTGTCTCATGTCCATTTCAGGAATTTCTAAGTGCCAGAGTATTTGAACTCTTCTCCCTGAAGTCTTAGCTCCACTGTCAGAGTCCAAGATATGCCAAGCAACCCCTCACCAAGGGCAAGGGCACCAGGACCCAGCCCCACCACACAGAGTACCAAATCCAAAGACACTCACTGCACAGCTGGCCATGACCAAGCGGAGGCTGGAACACAGGGCTGAGAGCATGGGGGCAGAACAAGGCACCGAGATGCAGCAGCCAAGCAGAGGCAAGAGCAGGAACAGATAGAGGAATACTAGAATGCAGAGACTCAAGAGCAGCAAGGCAGTAAGCACAACACAACCAAATACCTTTTTGGCTGAGGCAAGTTTTGGGAGGGAGAATCACTTCTTGAACAGGCCTTCCCTCCAGGTTTCCAGGTGAGCCTCATGAGTGGCCCAGCAGCTGCTACACAGGCCTCTGAGCCTGCAAACACCAGGTCATTCCTGGGTCAGGCTGGCCCCAATCCTGCAGCTGCCAGGATAGTATGGGCCAGATCTTGACATATACATTCACATCACTGCATCACGTTGCACCTATGTTACTTGTATGGAAAGATTATTGCTCAGTCCTCATTAAGGAGCTATACAAGAGGAAGTGTGACAGAACAATTACGCTGAGGCCCATGGCAGGGAGAGAAGATTTTAAGCTGCCCATCAGATTATCTGTCCTTTATCTGGCCACAAACAGACTAACTGATAGGGAAAATACTGGAATCCGCAGAAATGGGTATGCTAACAGAACTGTTAAGTCATGTCCAACTCTTCGTGGCCCCATGGACCAGAGCA